AAGAACGGTCTCTTCTGCCCTTTATGTTATATAGGGTCTGTTAAAACAAATACTAACTGCTTTTCATTTAAAATAGGGAAAACTTGCACATCTTGAGTTGAAAGGATTTGACTGATACATGATAAGGTTTCCAGGAAGTCTGAGGGAATACGAGGTATAATAAGCATTTTCTATAAAGTCATCTTAAAGTCGTTAGGAGTTTTTGGTCAGAATCAGCGTTTTAATGTAAACACTTAAGTTTTTTAGATCTATTAGATTAGCATAAAGCTGAAAACTTTTTTATCTAGTAGAAATCTCTCAGTTGCAGGGGAAAAAATAGCAAATGTTTCAGTTTTTCAATAGCAAATTATAATAGATTATTAGTTTATTTTCTCTTAGAAAATAAAGCAGTTTAAACTTTTATTTCCACACTGCAGCTTTTATTCTTTTAATGAAGTGGTGGATTGTTTTATTAGCATTGTGAAGAAAATAACTTCTGCAACTTCTGAAAGAAATTTTCTGTTTTTCTCATATTAAAACAAAATGTAGTATTATATCCAAAAATGATTTTTCTAATTTTTTTTGTTTTTAATCTTTTCAGTTAGTCCTGTATATTCATAATTAGGAAGAGTTTCTTTTAAGAATGCCGGTAGCATGTTATAGAAACTTTATTTAACTGGGGAATAAAAATATTGACCTCTTGATTGTCAGTAATTAAGAAGCTTAGTTTTTAAAAACTTTTAAGTGTTTAAAGGAGTTTTTCTTCCAAGATGCTTCTTCCAAGCATCTGTAGGTAAGATTCCTATCTTTTCTTTGATATATTGGTAAAATTGTAACTCAAACACTGGTTTGTGGAATTTAGAAGATAGAGCTACACCTGAAGGACATTCAGTTCTAGAATTTTGTTTATACAAATACTATAGTGATGGTTTCGTGCTGTTGGGTGTGCTCCTATGTGCAGTTTTGTCTCTAAAGTAGTCTTTACCCTAAAGTTATTCCTCTCAGATAACTTTTGACAGGTTATAGCCAAGTAATTTGGATCTTAAAAGCACTTATTTATCTGAGTATATTTATTGGTTACTTTCCTTAGTGTCTTTGAAATATCTAACCTGTAAGATTCACAATGAAATTGTAAAATTCAGATAAAGGTTTCACTGTTATTTTCTTGTTGCCTTTAATATTTTCTTGATGTGCTTTTCTTTTAAGAATAAATTTTCCCATATGCCCTCTGTGTAGAGGCAGATTTTTTATACATTTAGATGACACCACTAATCAGTGTCCTAAATTGTAGCAATAGTGAGCAGAATAAGCATATTTTGTTCTCAGTGGTGATTTAAAGTTTCAGAATTAAACTTCATATAATAGAATCAGAATTTTATAACTAAGAAGATACTTTAAAATATGCATGGTTTCAAGCCCTAATTTTTACAGGTGATAAAGCATAGGCCTATTATGACTCCTTAAGCTAGCTGCAAAACCCCATACGAGTTGCATAGCCATGAGAATCTTGGGCAGAATTAAACCCTGCCCTAAGTTTCAAATACAGGGAACAATTAATGGTTAGTATTAGCACAAATGAAGGCAGAGAGGCTGTAATCCCATTTAGTAAAAGGCTTTTAAAAATGTTTCATCTAGGAAAAACATCATAGGAACATTTCATTTCTAGAGAAAATTTACTGTCAAGAAAATAATGATTTCTCATAAGTCATTAATGCAGTATTAAGCTTGCAAAAGACAAAGTCAGATGCAGTTTTACAAATAGTTTAGTCTCTGTCACCTACAAAATGTCCCATTGCAAGCTAATATTGTAATGAAAAAACTGAAGTGTGTGTGTACAGTTGAATACTGTCCTCAGCTGGATCTCAAAGGTCTTCAGGGAAAATATACTGAGTAATAATGTTTTCAGTTGCATATGATCTGCACATAAATCAGAGCATGACATATGAAACGTGATAATTATTCTCCTTTATAACCACATGTTTTGTATAAATATATATATTCTCTTAAACACATCAGTAGATATTGCTATGATATTGTGAGGTTAAACAGTCAAAAGAAAATAAAATGATTTATTGTAAGACATTTTAAAACCTTTTGCTGATTTTATTACAGAAAATGTTTTCTTCATCTTTTTTTGTTCTTTTTAGTAATGCTTTGTTCTCATCAAAACCACTTCATATTTTTTCAGTCTTTTATGGGGTAGAAATTTAAAAGAAATCTCAGAATCCTCAAAGTTTTTTTATGTACTTGCTTTCTGACTACTAAAATTTAAAATGTTTTCATTAATTTTCTCTTCAAAGGATAATTCTGTTAATTTTCTGTAAAACAACTCATCGTAAGACCTTTATTTTTGACAGTAAGAAGATGCAAAATGGTACAGAGTAAAACACATTTCTGAGTTAATGCCCACTGTTTGGTGTGCTGGGTGGGTGTGTGTTTGTGTGCAGTGCTGAAGCGCTCTCTTCTGGTCTCTCAGCAGAAACACATCTTGCAGATGTGTTCCAGATGTTCGTTAGTTCTCAGGGTAGACTGCTGTTCTAGCTTCCTGCTGCTGTGACATACTTGCTGGTAATTCACCATCACCAATTAATAAATTAGTTCATGTTATCTTTCTTTTCCTGATATCATAGAAAATTATGCTATGGTTTCTAATAGAAGAAAAGCATATTCTTAATACAGGGAAAGATAAATCAGTCTCTAACAGTTTAAGAATTCTAGTTACTTAAATTCAGCTACATAAATAACCTTAATCTTAAACCATTTAAATTAAAGTTGTAAATACATCAGTTATATAGAAAACCTTTTCTGAGGATTTACTTGAACAATGATAATTGTATTTTTTGTAAGAATGGTATATAGTGTACTTTTAGGAAACTAGGAAGTCTTTTCCTTTTTAATAAAAAATTTAAAGTCCTGAAACCTTCAAGAGTAACATTGTAACTTTTTAAATTAAAGCACTCTTCTTGCACCTTTTAATATGCATTTTTATATTCTATAAATTTTTATATAAATGTTTAATGTGATACTAAGTTCAAGCCCCTTTATACTTTGAGGGTGTTTCAGAAAATTGATATTTTGATATTAACTTCCTGAATTCTACTATGTGGTGACTATATGATTTCTTCTTTAATGTAGAAAGTATCAGTTATTTAAAAAGTATTTTTTTCTTGTTTGTATTTTTTTACTCTAAATTACATTAATTTTGTTTTCTTAATATTAAATTATACAAGTCTTCTTGTATTAGATATGTTTACCAAAGTAGAAATGCATATAAATAAAGCATTTAGCACAGAGTTGAAACACAATAGGTGTTCAATAAATTTCTATTTCTAAAAAACCTACCTGGTAAAATTTGTGAGGATAGTACTGTATTTGTATTGTATTGTATTGTAATTTCACATTGTATCATGTGAAGTGGCTCATGATAGGAGGAGCCCATGAAACAGTACACTTTTTACTGTATTTTATTTATTTATTGCTTTTTTTCCTGCCTCCACCAGAATTTAAATAAGTTGAGAGCAGGGGCCTATCTTTTTATTCATCATCTTATCCCCAGGGTCTGTATAGTTCCTGGTACATAAGAGATGTCTAATATATAACTGCACAGTGTTATTGAATAGCTAACATTACCAGTGGCATAAAATTATTATTTTATAAATGTGTTTTATCTTTTACACTGGAAAACAAATCTCTAAGCTTTAAGTATTAACTTATAAAATAAGATAGGGTTTTTATTTGACTAATTTAGTATCAGTCACTCAGTATATATTGAGGGAGTTATTGCAGAAGGTCCAGTGACTAGACAGATATAATATTTAATCCTTATCCCTAAGAAGGTGGCAATGCTTCATGCAATAGCATTTTAAAGGAAGAGGAATGAGTAAGTCTTTTTAGGTAGAGAGGATAGAAAATAAGGCAGAAAAATGTGGAATGCATTTTCATAGGCAGAATATTTAAGAGTCCTATGCATGGTAAATACTCTGTAAGTGTTTAGTGAATTCAGCTTGTTTTGAAGATGCTCAGCCAAAGAGCTCAGAGTAGGGAGCTCATAGGCACCTTTACATACATACTGAAAGGCAAATTTTAGCATTTTAAGTGAATGTCTTACTAACATATTTACCAACATGGGATTCCAATCCTAATAGCTCTTGATACCCAATTTAGAAAAAAATGTTTCCTGGTTTTTAAGATAATTTGGTTTGGGATTCTGGGGATATTTTGGAATATTTATTCCCAGACAATAAAGATAATTTCTTGACAACAATGACGTTAGGCTTCTGGAATATTAGTAGTGTGGGGTGAAAAGGATCCAAACTAGTTTGGCTGCCATCAGGAATATAAACAAGGAAGCAAATTCCACATCCCAAAGAAAGAAAGAAAGAAATGGGATTACGGGATTTAAATTTATGAGAGAAGCCAAAGATTTGTGCTATAAATCTGTTCCATTAAAAGTCAGACCTCTGTGACTTCCAAGTGCCAAGTCGTTTTTCAAAAAGTGATTTCTCCTGCTGATGTTAATGTTCCTAGAACATCTCTCTCCCCAGTTTTACTGAACATTCACTCTAAAATGATATATAAGTGAAATGGGATTACAGGATTTAAATTTATGAGAGAAGCCAAAGATTTGTGCTATAAATCTGTTCCATTAAAAGTCAGACCTCTGTGACTTCCAAGTGCCAAGTCGTTTTTCAAAAAGTGATTTCTCCTGCTGATGTTAATGTTCCTAGAACATCTCTCTCCCCAGTTTTACTGAACATTCACTCTAAAATGATATATAAGTTTCACTCCATGATTTGTTACATGTCTCTGTCAAGCCAAAGTAATGGATTGGATCCTCCAAATCTATCATGGTGAGAATGATTTTAAAAAGCTACTTGGAGGAGATGTTTTTTATTTTACTTAGTAAATCCTTTATTTAAAAGAGTGAAAAAGTGAGCAAGAAATAACTCAGAGAAGCAGTTCTTTAAATCAACTAAATATGAACACATAGAACCTATAGGAATGTTCCCTCTCCCTTCCAGGTACCGCAGGCCTGCACAGTCCCATGGTGGATCTGGATAGCGATGTTCGTCCCTCAGTGTTGGCCCATCTTAGTCAGACAGCATCACTGAAGCGGGGCAGCAGCTTTCAGTCTGGTCGAGATGACAGTAAGTATATCTCTCTATGCCCACTTTGCCTTTTAAATTGCTACTTGTTTAATTTAAAACATTTTTCTCTTGGAAATTTCCATAACTAGTTCTGTTACTATTGCTAAATATTATCAACTGTTGTCTCTTCTACTTATTAAGTAACTACCCAGTAATTACATTGTACATTAAATACATGCCATTTGATTTCTTAGTAAGTCATTGGCCACAGGTCAGTATTTATTCAACATATTTAATTAAAAGTATAGTTTTATATTTTCTGTGGTTTAATTTTTTAAAATATGCCACAGAAAAAATTCTGTGAGAATTTCAAGGTTAATTTTGCAACAAAAGTAATTTCTGTTGTCAGTACAGAGAAAGACATATTTTCAATGAATTTTAAACTTTTGTTTGGAAAGGACTTATTATTAATCATAAATTATTTGCTATTTTTTTCATAAGATAAGGTATCTCAAATTATAACCATGTTGCATTTTTTAATTTTGTAATGTTGATATTTACCTATTGTTTATTTACTTATATAAAATACATTGATTATAATGTAATGGTGTGCCAATTAGACGCTGTTAATCACTAGTATTTCTAACCTCAATAATAGAAATAAAAAAATCCAAATAGAATAATAAAAATACCTTCCTTTATATTAAATTGAAATGCCTCTAAAATTTATTTGGAAGTATTTCATATTATTCTTACAAGTATTGAAGTAGGGAATTTTTTTTAACATTTCATTAATAAATTTAAATAAATGGCCATTATAAGAACACCTTAAAATTAGATGATTCACTTACACTAAATGAAGGGCTTCTATTTGATATTCATTCTTCTTATCCTGTGTGCATTCTCCACCCTGTGCACCAAACAATTGGAGAAGAGAACTGTTTGCTTCTGCCTGCTGTGCTATAATGTGGCCCTGTAAACATGTAGACCTACAGCCTGACCTTGGAGTGCAGCCCACCAGTTTTTAAAAAAATCCTTCCTTTTCATGTCTACACACTTTACCTCACTCCTTCTCTGTTAATGTCATTCACACCACCAGTTGATATACTAACAGGCTTAAATAAATTAGAAATTATACTTGAGACTGACTATAATGAATTACATCACCTTGAACAGTTCAAATTTATCCTGCCTGGGTTTTGTCAAGCTTCTTGGATCTATTTTATCAAATCCTGGAAATTTTTGTCAAATTTTAAAAAATTTTGGTTGTAATTTTCTCAAATGTTTTTCTGTCTGCTTCCTTTTCTGAAACTCCAGTTATGTGTATGTTAGGACAGTAGATTACCCTATAGATCACTCAGGCTCTGTCCCTCACTCCCCATCTGTGTTTCTTTATAGTGTCATTTGCTAAACTTTCAACTACTTTAATCTTTTATCTGCAGTGTCTTAACCTAAAAAATGTCACATACTGTATTTTTCATCTTTAGAAGTTCCATTTGGTTCTTTTAACTATCTTCCCTTTCATTATTTTCATTTAATATTTTAACATTGCCATTACTGGATAATTCTGTCATCTCCACTATTTCTGGATCTATTATTATTGAGTAGTTTTTCTTCTGGTTTCTGGTCGTGGTTCACATTTCCTTGCCTTTCGGCATGGCTAATCGTTTCAGTTTTTTTATTGTTTCCCAGACTCTGTGACTATCCAATGTTGAGTGTCAGGGTTTTGTTGCCTTGCTTTAAAGAATGCTGGACTTGGTTTTACCAGTTGCTTACAGTAAGTTTGACCCATTCAAGGCCTGCCTTAAGTTGCTAGAGCAAGTCTAGAGTTACCTTCATTCTAGGGAAACTTCAGCTCTACTACTGAGGTATGATCTCTTGGATCGCCACTGAATGAACCAAGTAATTAATGAGGATTGTTCCTTCAGGCTAAGAGCTCTGGGAATCTTGATCTTACACTATGTATGCATGACCTAATACTCAATAAAGACTTAAGATGACTCTTATGCAGATTTTTGGAGCTTGGTTTTTCTACTTTGCATAATTCTTCCCTGCATTTCCCATTCACCTCCTTGAAATTCATCTTTCCAACTCAGAAAGGCCACTGAGCTCTGTTTAGGTTACTCCTCCCTTTACCTTGTCTAGAAATTGCCTGCAGGCAGAAAGCCAGGGCAAATGTGGACTCACCACCCGTTTCCCTTTTCTGTTGTTCAGTGTCTCAAAACAGTTGTTTATAAATCCCCCCCCCCCCCCTTTTTTTTTGTTTATGACGGCAGGTTAAACTCCTGTCACATTACCATTAGGACTGTCCATGTAATTGTAGGAGGCCAGCGCTGTTTAGTATTCCTGGTGAGCATCATGGACAGACCTCAGAGTGCAGCTACAGAATTAGCACACAGTGACAATCAGTAAAAGTTTGCCGGTTGAACAAGTACAGGTTTACAGTGTGCCCTAAGGAAGGAGCCATGCCTTTCCCATATGTGACAACAGAATATATAAAGCATTCCCAACAACTCTTAACATAGACCAAAGACTAACATGCCCAATAAATAAAGAGACTCTACAGGCCACAAAAAGGCAGTTTGAATGGCTCTTAAGCATATCTGAGTAGGTACTCAACTTCAGTCATAATAAAAACTGAAAAGGCATTGTAACACTACAGTGAGATGCTGGCTTCGAAAAAACCACCAGTGTTTATGGTTTTGGGTTTTATGTGTTCTGTTTGTTCATTGCTAAGGTTATAAGGAAGCTGTAACTTGCATGTGTTTCTTATGGGTGTGTAACTAGTCCCCAGAGTGGTCAATGTAATAATACCTATCGAAACTACAACTCTGTGTACCCTTGAACCCAGCAGTTCCTTTTCTGAGAATGTATTCTATACTTATGCAGACAGTCCCCTACTTAATGATGGTTCAACTAAACAATATTTCAACGTTACGATGGTATGAGAGCAGTACACATTCAGTAGAAACCATATTTTGAATTTTGAATTTTGGCTTTTTTCCCTGGGCTAGCAATGTGCAGTCTGATACTGTCTTGTGATGCTTGGCAACAGGGTGAGCTGCAGCGCCCAGTCATCCAGGCAGTCATGAGAGTAAACAACCAACACTACAATATACCATGTTGCCAGCATTTTGTTTTGTTTTTTGGATATTGGCTTCTGAGCACGTTTCACGTAGGTGAGACTAAGTTTTAACATTTGTTAGGTTAGGTGTATTTAATGCATTTTCGACTTACGATATCTTCAACTTAAAATGGGTTTAAGGGGATGTAACCCCATCGTAAGTTAAGGAGCATCTGTGCTTGCACATATGCCTAAATGATGAGGTATACCTTACTGGTTGAAACAGTAATGTTAACTGGAAAAGATTTGGAACAGTCCTGTCCAGTAGGAGGGGACTTACTAGTAGTACTTAGTAAATTATGATATTTCCAAATATGAACTACTATGTAACGGGGGGAGGGGGGAGAGGATATAGAAGAATCTAGGATTCACTGTTAAATGAAAAAAAGCTGTGTTTTTAGTATGCTTTCACTTGGGTGGGGGGAGAATACATATTTCTGTTTGCCTTTGTATATAAAAGACATTTCAGAAAGAATCACAAAAAACTAGTAACAGTGATTTCTTATGGCTGGAGTTGTGAACTGGACAGTGGGGGACAAGGGTAGGTGGTAGACTTCACTGTATACCTTTTAACGTTTCTCGCCATATATTGTCTATTTAGAAAATTGTTAAATATTGGAAAATAAATAAAATCCACCCTTCTCCTACTAGAATAGCATCGATAATAACAAACCACAAAACATTTTGCCTGGGAGTATTTTGAAAGCAAGCCAGTAGTTGATGGAGGATGAAAGTTCCCTTTCTTAACCTGCTTTGAAGTTGCTGAGTAAAAGTTAGAAGTTGACTCCAGAAGCGCTCCTCATCATTGTTGTAATATTGGACAGTGAAAATGCCTCTGTCTTGCTCCTGTTGGAGGCTCAGAAGCAGAACCCCAGGCCCAGGGAACAGGGTTTGGAGGGAAAAAGAAACAGGCAAGAGCATGATATAGAAAGATGGGAGAGACTGGGAAGTGATTAATGCTCACTAAATTACTACTACTTTACTTTTTATTCCCACAGATTTACCCTTCCCATAAGAAATCTATAAGACCTTATTCCCCACTTACTATAATAATCACGTTAAATTATATGTAAACCAAGAGGCTTCAACATTTTTATATTTGCTTACATGTCTTTGTTATGGGAGGAGTTATTAATTACATGATTGTGTTTGAATGTGCTCCTTTGTGATGATTTGACTTCTTACTGAATCTTCACTACATAGGGTGTCTGGTGGCATTCTAATAAGTTGATATTAGCTTCAAATTTAAATATTGGTTGTGGGCCAGCCCTGACTTTGCCTTACTTTGCTATTTGAAGGCATGACTTTTTAAAGAGAAATATAACATCCCAAAGACAACAAGGTTGAAAAGCCAAAGCAACTTCCTCTGTGAAGTCCTCCCTGTTGTGTCCTCCTGACCTGCATGTCCTTCCCCTGCCTGCCATGCCCCATGAGAAAGCAGGGACCTCTGCGGAGAGTGTGCTGTCTGTGCTGGCAGGCGGTTGTGGTGTGACAGAAGAATAAAATATTGGTCTTTCAGCATATTAAAGCTCTGCAGCCAAAGTGGAGCACATTTTTAGATGGGGAGTGGAAGTATGTTTAAACAGATTTTTATTCCTGTTTCAAAAGTATAGTCATGGTATTTTATTCTTTCCCCCTTAGCGTGGAGATACAAATCTCCCCACCGGGTAGCATTTGTTGAAAAATTGACCAAGCTTGTTTTAAGTCAGCTGCCTAATTTCTGGAAACTCTGGATTTCATATGTTAATGGAAGCCTTTTCAGTGAGGTATGTATACAAATATGACAATTGATGAAGGCGAGTCATTGTGAATTTCTAGTCTTAAAAATTTTAGATTCTGAAGTGACTTGTTTTGTTTTTAATCCTTACCAGAGGATATTTTTTTTCCATCGCTTATTAGGAGGTTTGGGGGAGGGAAAGAGAGAGACAAAGAGAAACATTGATGTGAGAGAGACACATCAATCGGTTACCTCCCACACACACCCTGACCAGGGCTGGGATCAAACCTGAAACCTAGATACGTGCCCTTGATCTAGAATTGAACCCGAGAACCTTCAGTGCGCAGGCTGATGCTCCAGCCATTTAGCACACCAACCAGGGCCTGAAGTGACGTTTTTTAAAACCTTAAGGGCCCAATACCTATAATAACTATTGTCAAATATTTTAAGATTAATTAAAAGCACTGTAAAGCTCCAATACTTAATAGCTGTATAATTTTGAACAAGTTAATTGTTCTGGGACTCAGTGTCCTCAACTATAAAAAGAAAATATTGAGCGTATCTATTTCAAAAGGTGATTATGATGATTAAATGAGATAGATATTCAATTAAAGAAAAAAAGAAAATTTGAAATATTTTCAAGGATTCTGAAATAAGTATAGTATTGGGCAAAACTATGGGTGAAATTATTGTGCAGCAGACTATGAACATATGATAAATCAAAGATGAAATGCTTTTACAGCTTGCACACAGGTTCAAAATAATTCATATAATTAAGTGATTTCCTAGTTGGAAAAAATTTAAAGATTTTTGTTAGCCCCCAATATGGTCATTCTGCAGAAGTTGTTATATTTTCACAAGTCACATATTTACTTAGTTTCTTAATCATTACATAATTAGTAGCATAGAAGTTATGATTTCTATATATAGCACCTGGAACTTAGATTTATCAATCTAAAGCAGGGGTGGAGAACCTTTTTTCTGCCAATAGCCATTTGAATATTTATAACATCATTCGTTTAATATAATTCACTTAATATAAATTTATGTTCCTATGAAAAGCTCCTAGATTTATTAAATTTCAAGTCCCACCTTGCAGGGCCAGACCAAATGATTTCATGGACCTTATACGGCAGGCAGGCTGGAGGTTCCCACCCCTGCTCTATATTCTCACTGCAAGTGCCCAGTGAATGGGCCCTAGGTCCTGGAATATACACTGTAATGCCCTTTGCCTCCAGCTGCTAGGAAAACCCCACTTGTCACACATGCAGAAGGCAGTTCTGGTTTCTTGTCTCCAGAGAGAACTCTTTTATAGCCCTGAGAGCTGGGGATATAGGGATCCTCCTGATGGTAAAGCTATTTCCTGCTTCTTTTGCACTTGCTCCCACTGTGGCTGCTAAGCTGAGCACAGGTTTGGGTTTCTTTCCCTCTCCCACGGTGAGGGTAGCTTCACCGCTCACATAATGCCATAGCTTCCTCTCTTAATCTGCTCCCTCTCGAACTCAGATTGCTTATATAAGGATTAGAAAGGTTAGGTGCTGCTATATCAGTGCTATGGACAAATAGTGTTCCAATTTTTTCTTCTGGAACACTAGTGTTGAATGAGAAATACCCAGTATTTATCACATATTAATTGCGACCTTAGCAATAACTTTACTTCTCTGTGCCAACTCCACAGGGCTGGCTTGAGAATTGAATGAGTTAGCAGAAATTATGTACTTATTACAGTATCTGGAAAATAAATAAGAATTTGCTCTTATTATTTGGAATAAAAATTTATCTAAAAGTCATTGTCCTGGTATATAATAGGTATTCAGTGAACAAAGTTTAATAGCATTTAAGAAATACTGGACTGATGAACTACTAGGTTAGTATTGAATAATGTCAAGATAGGTGAACTCATCTGAAGAATTATTTCCTTAGGAAATGGATTTTAGACCTAGTTTTTTTTTTCCAGCCAAGTGTTTTTTCCTTCCAATTGGATCAGTTCCAATAGGTCAGGGGTGGGAAACCTTTTTTCTACCAAGGGCCATTTGGGTATTTATAACATCATTCTCAGGTTATACAAAATTGTCAACTTAAAAGTTAGCCTGCTATATTTGGTCAAACATTTAATTAATTCATCTCTAATGCCTTGGCAAGGCCAAACCAAATGATTTCTCAGGCCGGATGTTCCCCACCCCTGCTATAGGTGGACCACACATCCACAGAAGTTGCCTTATTCTGGTTGTTTTTAGAGTTTGTAAAATTCCCACATATTTTTGACCTGAGATATTTTAGGGAAGGGAATACATTTTCCTTCCTTATAGGTTATACCTAGTTGTGAAATAAATAAGCTCCTTCTGAACTCAAGAACATTAGTACTGAAAAAATGGTTTTAATTAGTTGTATTGAGTTGGATATGCTTATGGTATTTCTACCTATTCATATTTATAAAATGTTCTTAAAAGTTTATAGTAATTATTAAATACTAAAGGCCCAATGCATGAAATTCATGCAAGGTGCTCGGCCCTTGCAGCCCCGGCTTAGTCAGGAAGGTCGTCCAGAAGGACTTCCAGTCTCATTGGCATATTACTCTTTTATTATTATAGATAATTTATCTACAAATTTGGGCATGTTTTTAAACTACTCTCTATTAAAAAGCTAGAAAGACACCCAAGGGCAGTAGAAAGGAATGGATGAGTTAGGAAAGTGTGTCTACTATGTCAGTCTGTGAGTGAGATCTAGAAACTTAATAAAATTAAAATTAGGAAGAGTTCTGGCTTTTAATAGTTGCTATTTAACCTCATAAAAGAAAGCGCTGTAATATTGAAAAAACTCAATTTACTTGAAAATTCTTATTTTCTTGTTATAGAACTATTTTGTTTTATTAAGAGCCCATCCGTTGAAGATTTAGATGGAGTTTTCAACAGTTTAAAAAATAGTCAGTTCTTCAAACCAGTCAAGCCCATGTGAAGTAACTTATGTGAATCAAAACAGTGAAATCTAGCCGTTGCTCTCACCACAAAGTAGTTTTGGTCTGTGTGTGCAGGAAAGAGTTAAGGTTTTTAGTTAACGAAATGGTTAATAGTAGGTTAAGATCTCATCTTTAGATATATTTTAAAGACAGTGTATTTTGGGGTGAAAAATTTTAAAGCATCCAAATAATTTTTAAATAGTGGGAATCAGAATTTTTAAAAGTTTAATAATTTATAGTAAATAGCACTTTATGTTCTAAAATTGGATTAAAAAATAGAACAAACCTTACAAAATTCAGTATATTGGAGGTGTTTAATTCATTAGATTAAAACAATAAGTTATTTTTTTAATTAACAGTTGCAAAAGGTATGCCTTATAACTAATTCCCCTATCCCTTCCATTTTTCATATAATTGGAGACAGGTTCTTGAGGTTTATAAAATTATTCTGTGCAGTAGATGGCATCATGCATTCATTAGCACATGTTTGGTGGACAAAATTGTTTGGGCAAAATTTAGCCTTAATTCTAGTATGATGTATTTTAATAATTGATTCTCACTTTTTTCTTTGATTTGAAACTATTTCAGAAAGGACTATGAAATAATCTTCCCATTGAACAAGCCCACTATGTGAAAAGTTCAGTCTTAGGTACTATAGCAGATACAACTAGAAAAGACACCATTTGACAGTCAAGATACTTAACAATTTAATACTGGTATGACCCTTCATAGAGACAAGTGACACCTTACTTTCAGAGTTCCATCCCTTCCTCCACCGCACACTAACTGAGGTCGGTATTAGGGTTCAGAGACACAGAACCAATACCCTATGTCAACCGTATATATCAAAAGAAAGAGACTTTGAGGAATTTGCTCATATGATTATGGAGGTTAACAAGTCCCACTATCTGCTGCAGTCAGCAAGCTGGAGACTCAGGAGAGCCCACTGTGTCGTTTCTATTCGAGGCTTGAGACCCGGGGATTGCCAGTGTTTCCGTTCCAGTCTGGGGGCTGGAAAAGGCCAGTGTCCCAGCTCATGCAGTCAAGCTGTAAGATTCCCCCCTTACTTCGGTCTTTTTGTTCTATTCAGGCCTTCCACTGATTGGATGAGACCCACACTGAGGAAGGCAAGCTGCTTCCTTCAGCCTACGAATTCAAATATTAATCTCACCCAGAGACACCCTCACAGACACACCCAGAGTAATGTGTAACCAAATTTCTGGGTCCCCATGGCCCAGTCAGGTTGACACAGAGAATTAACCATCACTAAATCCTTAACATAGATTTCCCAGTACAGGATGCCTGTGTTCTGTGCCTCCTGACATCGCAGTAGGTGCTGGCTTCCTCAGCAACATCTGAATTCCATATCTAAAACAGTCCTCCCAACTCCCAGGAGTCACACAAAATTCTTAAACCTCTGGTCCTCCCTTTTGTTGTCATCTTAAGACTCCAGGAGATGCATTGGGTCTGATGGACATTTCAGGAGCATATCACAGGGTTATGTCCCATGCACTTTCAAAGGGTCAGTCTTCCAAGTGGCAGCTCAGGACTTCAGGTGTTCTAAAGGCCTTTCGATGAACCCAGTAGTATTCAGGGCCATCCTGCTTTCTGATATGTATTCCAGGATGTTCTGAAGAACCCTAACCCTTGGTGATACTTCATTCAGCAAATATTTATTGAATGCCCTTAATAGCCTCTATGTGCCAGGTATTGAAACACACACATACATGTACACATATAATACACAATTTTAATATACATACATACAATATGAGTAAAATAGTGACCAATGTAAATATGACCTCTCTCCTCCATCCTAAATTTTTGTAACATCTATAATAGAAACAAATAGAGTCTTAAGTTAAAGAACATCCGATGATATGGAGATCAAGGAAGGTCTCTGAGGAGATGATATTGAAACTGAAACTTCAAACATGAGGAGGAAACAGCCTCACAAAGGATCAGGGGAAGAATGCACAGAGAGAGCAGCACACACAAAACTGAGGACAGGAGCTTGGCAAAAGAAAGTCACAGCATCCAGAGTATACTCAACAGTGGGCGAGTTTACCAAGAGAAGCAAGAGCTGAGGTAGAGGAGCTGGCAGGGTAAAGAGTTTGTATTCTAGGTGCTGTGGGAAGCCATGGAAAAATGTTAAGTGGTGGAGTTACCTGACCAAGTTTTTCAGTTTTAAAAGGACCACTCTGGTTGCCTTCTCAAGAATGAGTTGGCAGGGCCAGAAGTCAAGGTGGGGATGCTCTTGAGGCCATCCAGGCAGGAAACAGTGGTTGTATTAAGGTTTTGTTGGTAAAGTTGAAGAGAAAATTACAGATTTTATTTGTATTTTGGAAGTAGGGTTAACTGGACTTACTGATGGATCACATGAGGTTGACGAGGACAGGGATTCAGATACAGCTCCCACAGGCTCCCAAGTGAATAGGTATGCCGTTTGTATAGTCAGAAAGATTTGAGAAAGAACATACCTGGAGGAAAATATCAGTTTTTTATTTTAATGTTTTACGTTTGAAATTCCTGTGATTTATTCAAATAGGAAATCAGAAATTCAAATTGTCAGAAGAAAGATTTGGGCTATATATATAAATTTGAAAGTGTGAGATATAATCTATAATGATAAAAGCATAATATGCTAATTAGACCGGACGTCCTTCCAGACGAAGCCGGGGCTGCGAGGGAAGCCTGGGTCCCGGATGCCAGAGGGAAGTCGGTGCTGGCAGCTGGGGGAAGGAAGGCCTACTCTTGCACGAATTTCGTGCATCAGGCCTCTAGTTTATAATAAATATCTATTTGGTCTTCATCCTGGCACAGAGCTCTTAAAACCCTTGGAATTTCTGAAGTGAGGACTAATAAAGGTATCTTTTGTTATGTTATTGAGGTGGCTTAGGTCCCCACCTAAGGATGAGGTACTCATTGCCCAGACACCAACCATGTGATTAGATGGTTGGAACTTTCACCCCAGACCTCCTAAGTAGGTTGAGACTGAGCTTAATCACCTCTGGCCAGTGATCAACAGAGCTTTCATAAAACCCCAAAAGGAAGGGTTCAGAGAGCTTCAGGTTGGTGAACACATGGAGATTCTGGGAGTGTGGCCTGCTCAGAGAGGGCATGGAAGCTCTGCATCCTTTCTCCATACCTTGCCCTGTGCATCATTTTCATCTGTCTGTTCCTGAGTTATATTCTTTTATAGTAACTGGTTATCTAATAAGTATCACATTTATCTGAGTTCTCTGAGACATCCTAACAAATTATTGGAACCAAGGAGGGGTTAGTAGGAACCTCTAGTCTGTACCCAGTCAGTTGCAGTCAGTTGACAACTTGGGCTTATGATTGGCATCTGAAGTTGTGTGTGTGTGTGTGTGTTGGGGAGAGGGTAAGTCTTATAGAACTGAACTGTTAACTATGGAATCTGACTCCAGGTAGGGTCAGAATTGAATTGAATTATAGGACACACAGCTGGGATCTGGAGAATTGTTTGTTGGTGTGGGGAACCTCTTATGTCTCCCTCCCATACACACAGTGGAGTTTGGTGCAGAGCCCAAAATAGGAAGGCATTATATAGAAATGATATTTGAAGCTATGAGAATAAATTAGTGAGAGAGTATAAAGGAAAAAGAATAAGTGCTTAAAACCAAAACCTGATAAAAACTCAGCATTTAGAGAATAGTTCTTTATCAGCTCAGCAAGCAGGGACCATGTGTCTGCTTTTCCACACCTGGGCCACTCTTTCACCAAGTATTGTTTTGAATCAGAGCATCACACTGACAGAAACAGAAAGTAGGCTAACAGACAACAGGGCCATTTGGACTTACCTGAGTGGTCATGACTCAGATGGAAGTCACTCTTTATATCTCTCCTTTCTCACTGAAACACTCAGTGGAATGACTGGGTTCAGTCACTTCTGCCTCAGAAGCCTGTAACTAAGCTATCCACAGGGATCCTTTGTGCACCTCCTTTAGCCTGAGACACTGTCATTGCTTCCCTGGGTTAGCACAGCACTCTTCTAGCTGCTCATGCTCCTACCGCTATCCCTCCAGTCACTTCTCACTGTAGCTATAGGGTACTTCAGTTACATCTCATTTGCCTTAAAAATAAAGGGACAAGCCCTGACTGGTTTGGCTCAGTGGATAGAGCGTTGGCCTGCGGACTGAAGGGTTCCAGGTTCGATTCCAGTCAAGGGCATGTACCTTGGTTGCCGGCACATCCCCAGTGGGGGGCGTGCAGGAGGCAGCTGATCAATGTTTCTCTCTCATCAATGTTTCTGACTCTCTATCCCTCTCCTTTCCTCTCTGTAAAAAATCAATAAAATATATTTAAAAAAATAAGGGAAAAAAACATCAATTTCTGAGTTAAATCTCAGTATACAAAAAATTTTGAGTGTTATTTGCCAATGACCTTAGGAATTTGTTTATTGAATTATTACTGAAGTAAATAAATTTGGGGTTTAGTTTTTCTCAAAAACTAAAGTTCAGTTATTTCAAAGCAAAAGTGCATTTCTACAAAGAAAAATGATAAAAGCTGCATATTTTAATATACAATTTTAAATTAAGTGTAAATCAGAGTCTGAAGAGTTGTATATCTGTGTATATTGACCACTTTTTATCAGGTATGTCTGATATTTTTGTTGAAAACATTTGCAGTCCTTACTCTTCTTTCATGTATTCACGTTGGTAATGTTCATTATATAAACCAACTCTATACACTATGTTTCTAGCTTATATATAAAATATATATAACATTACTTATGTTTTAAAATTAAGTTCAAGTCAATATAATCATTTGTAATGCAATTATTCTTAGCATGAAAGTACTTTGACTTGTCTTTAACCAATAATACATGAGTGCTTTAACTTTAAAGGATAACTTTTGCATATGTTAATGAGATATGAGATTTTTCTTTTACATTATACCATTTTTTGTTACTACTTCTTTATTTGGAAAGTTTCCAACGCCTGCCCTTCAAAGGCATTTTATATAATAATATTTAGTTATTAGAAACTTTGGTAATGAAAAGTTAACTGAAATCCAATTGAATAGATTTCTCTTGAATCAATGCAATGTAGTCATCTACACATTAAGGAGAAGAGAAATATGAGACGAAATAATGGCTCTTAGTAAACAGGTAAAAAATTAATTTTAGAATAGATTTTCTACTAAGGTAAACTGTAAAACATCTGAAGAAGAGCAATGATTTGTAATTTTTTTAAAAATAAAATGTCAGATATAATACTTCATAAATATTTGTCAAGGGAATGGAATGGATGTCCTGAGATTACTAGATATTAATCCAGAGTTTACTCTTTCTTTTATTTCCACCCTAGTCAGTGAGAAATAATTTAGAGAATGTTATCATAGGTATGATACTTTTAGGTTTAAGCATATACATTTTTTTAAATATATTTTTATTAATTTAGTAGAGGAAGGGAGAGGGAGAAAGAGAGAGAAACATCAAAGATGAGAGAGAATCATCAATTGGCTGCCTCCTGCATGCCTTCCACTGGGGATCGAGCCCGCAGCCCTGGGCATGTGCCCTCACCGGGAATCAAACTGTGACCTGATTCATAGGTAGGTGCTCAACCATGGAGCGTGCTGGTCAGACTAAGCATATAAAATTTTTAATGAAAATGACATGAAATTTTTCTATAAAAAAGGTAGTCTCAGTTAATACTTAGGTTCATTTATGGGAATTGTACTTAAATGTTTTAGGAAGATGAAAAACTTCTTCTTGTAATAAAAATGGCTTTCTGATTAGTTACTCTTTAATCAGAAATTTAGATTATTTCTTATACATTCCTTTTAAACAAATAATCATACTAGAGGCCCAGTGCACGACATTCGTGCACTGAGGGGTGGCTCCCTCAGCCCGGCCCATGCCCTCTCACAGTCCAGGACACCATGGGGGATGTCCGCCTGCCACAGTGGCTGGAGAGGCTCCTGCCACCGCCATTGTGGTCGCTGTGCTCACCAGCTGTGAGCCCAGCTTCTGGCTGAGCTGCGCTCCCTCTGTGGGAGTGCACTGATCACCAGGGGTCAGCTGCTGCGTTGTCTGTCCCCTGGTGGTCAGTGTGTGTCATAGTGATCGGTTGTTCTGCCATATTTCGGTCGATTTGCATATTAGGGTTTTATTATATAGGATTTCATACTTTTTTTATACAACCCCTAGAGCAGGGGTGGGCAAACTTTTTGACTCGAGGGCCACAATGGGTTCTTAAACTGGACCAGAGGGCCGGAACAAAAGCATGGATGGAGTGTTTGTGTGAACTAATATAAATTCAAAGTAAACATCATTACATAAAAGGGTACGGTCTTTTTTTTTTTTAGTTTTATTCATTTCAAACGGGCCGGATCTGGCCCACGGGCCGTAGTTTGCCCACAGCTGCCCTAGAGCATTTCTTATTTTTGTAAATTATTTCTAAAAATAAAAGTTTGTTTGTTTTTTAATTTCAAGACTGCTGAGAAGTCAGGCCAGATTGAAAGATCAAAGAATGTCAGGCAAAGACAAAATGATTTTAAGGTAAGTTAAGGGTAAGTATGTAGACTTTTTCACAAGGTAAGGTTTTTCCAACCATAGTAGAAGACTTTATTTATGTTCAAGATATTCATCATCACTCAAGCAGAATCCTTCGATTTATTTATTATTGTATAGAAAATGATTCAGGAAGTAATGCAGAGTCTTGTGAAGCTGATCCGTGGAGCACTACTCCCACTTAGCATCCCAGAGGGTGGAGTGAGGCAGTATGGAGGCTGGGAGGTGAAGTCTGAGCTCTCTGGACAATGGCTCGCTCATGTCATACAGACCATAAGGTAAATATGGACACATTTTCCTGAAAAGGATAAATCTTTTTTACTGTTAAAAAAAATACTCATGATGTGATATGATTTTTAATACATTCTACGAAGAATTTTACTTTGTGTCCTTCGCATCCACTGTTTCCCATGTGTCATCTAGCAGTCTCTTAAACCTTCCTGGTCTTACATTTGATATGCATCCTTTATTGTTTAATTTAGTGTTACTGTTATAATACCTCTTATGGTCTTACTTTTACTTTATTTTCAACATAATATTGTAGCTTTTAAGCTCCATAATGAATCATTCATTATAGGATGACCAAAATGATGACAAGGGACTGCTTTGTGATTGCACTCCACTCACTCACTTTTTTTTTGTTGTGTTTATTTTACAGGCTTACTTATGAATCACTGACTGCCCTTGAAATTCCTAATGACATGTTACAGACTATCCAGGATCTCATTTTGGATCTCCGAGTACGTTGTGTAATGGTCACATTGCAACACACAGCGGAAGGTATGTTAAGAAAAATTGATGACATTTACTAGACAATGATTACCTGAATATCTCCCTCTTTCTAGCTTCCAAATCCTTGAAACAAGAAATTACTTTTATGGAAATTTGAATATTTTAGACCATCTGTTTAAAGAATGCTGCTCAATAGAATTCTTTCAAAAGTAATTTTTCAAAAACTTGAGATACCAAGCCATGCAGAAATAAAGATGAATATACTTGAAAAATTTTTACATACATAAAAACATCCTTATTTTTAAAAGGCAAATACTAAGTAGAAAAAGTAAAATATAAAATGTATATAAAGTACTATGCCATTATTAAAAATATAGATATGTATTTTAAAAGTTTAATTTAGAAATATCAATGTAAAATCAGAAGAAAGACTGTTAACAGTGGTGTTTCAGGAAATAGAAATTATAAGTGATGATCATTTTCTTTATACTTTCTAGAATTTGGGGGATTTTTACCTACTATTATAAAAGAACAATTAAGATTATCTTTATAAAGCTACTCTTTTTTTTTAAGTTCTTTATTGTTTAAAGTATTACATAAGTCTCCTTTTTCCCCCATTGACCTCTCCCCAGCCACTCCCACCACCCAGCACATGCCCTCACCCCCCTGTTGTCTCAGAGCTACTCTTTTGGTATTAAAATTTTTTTAAAAATTCAAAAACGTTATAAATGACCTAAACCATTACTACCTATCATCAGGACTATCATCATTAATTTCTATCAGTACAGAATTCGTACTAATGCACTCTATAAACAGAAAGGGAATGGAATCAGGTGAGAAACTGAATAGTATCCTCTTAATTCATCACCTCCTCCTCTCAGGGACCTGAAACAGACGCAATGGTAAAGGCATTCCTTTAGCCAAGTGAGAATAAGACTGCCATTGTCAGGAATGTAAAGGATTAAAACAGAATCTAAATTGTTTATTAGAAATTTTAGGGGGGAAATATTACATAGTTATTTTGTACATGTTTAAGATTATCAAGAGTACTGAATAAATAATAGATTATCTAAAGTTATTATTAAACCTAGCCTTGCATTCTCCAAATTGGGTTATGTAGTCAAAAATTTTCCTTACATTAATGTTTTATTAGAAAAATCCAGTGAATAATACACATTTAAATCCTTGAGTTAACCAGAATTATATTCTGTACCTACTTTCACCAATTTTTTACAAACCTGTAAAAAACAATTAAAAACCATAACCCATAGATTTTTATCTCTATAAAGTTCAGTGAAATAACCACAATAAAAAGTACTTGTGTGTGTGTGTTCTCCCTATAGAAATAAAGAAATTAGCTGAAAAGGAAGACTGGATTGTCGATAATGAAGGGTTGACTTCTCTAGTAAGTTTAAATTCTTTTAAATGATGACTCATTAGTGTATATTATATTCAAAATAAATGATTTATTATATTAATATGGAGCATGCGCTTTCTGTATTACAATTCCAAATAGTTTCTGGAAAGAGAAATATAAATTTCTTAAAGTTTTCTTCTCAGAGTCATTTTTGCTGAACCACACATATTTAAAAATTAATAAAAAGTAGATTTTTTAGAATAACCATTTTTCATTGTATCACTTACTATTTTTGCTTGCATTGCATTTTTAATAGATTATGCTTAATTCTAAGTTACCCAGCAATTTGAATTTTTCATAAAAGCAGGATAAAAAAAATGCTGTTGCTGACTTCTGAGCCAAAACAACAATGTCGAAGTTCTCCAGATGCATACACATGCCAGGTAGCTGTGATCTTCATTCAGAAGGATCATCGTCTTTACATATGGGACTTTTAGGTTTTCAAAATACCTTTGAAAATAGTTTTCATCATTTATCGTGTCAGGTTTCTCCCCCCTCTGTTATCACCATTTTTTCCACAAAGTTATTACAATGTTATTGACTGTATTTCCAGTGCTGTACATTATATCCCCATGATGTTTTTTTAGTCAGGTTGTTGAGAAGCAATAATCCCATGAAATATTATATTTCCTCGAATTTCTGCACTTCTTATTGACAGTATTCCTTTGAGAGTTGAAGAATTTTTGACAAGTTGAAATTATTCCTCTGTTTCTCCAAAGGCCAAGGTTCCTTCTCAAGTTAATAAAAATATCTACAGTACACCTTCCTTTGTATGTAACAGTGCGATTTAGAACAGCAGTGCTTCCACAGTTTTGTAAATTAAATCATGGTTGAAATTAAGGGAACTTATTATTTTAAATAATTCCATTGTGATTATATTTTAAAGGAATTATTTTTTATAAAGATCTGTTTTGATTCATTTGGTTTATTCTATTTTTCATAATGATTTGTATTTAAATACAAAAGAGGAAAGAGGTATGGGCAGACCTTGCACCATCCAGTCTGGCAGCCACTTGAAACGTGGCTCATGTAAAATACACATCAGATTTGAAAATACCCTCAAAGGTTCCAGCTTTGAGTATTTTTAACTTAACTAACTAAAGCTCTTAGACTTGGACTGAATACAAAAAGAAAGAATGTAAAATATCTCAACTTTTTATATTTATTACATGTTGAAATAATATTTTGATATATTTCATTACATAAATTATATTAAAATTGTTTTTTTCTTTTAGTTCTCTTAATGTGGTTACTGGAAAATCTGAAATTGTATACATGGCTTGTGTTTCTGGCTCAAATTATTACTTCTGTGGGACAGCACTGGTGTAGTGGAACAAGTACTGCAGTGGATCTAGAATCCTAGTCTGGTTCAGTCCTGAATTCTGCTATATCATAGCTTTGCAGTCTTAAAGAAGCCACTTAACCTCTGCCCTAGTTAAAGAAGCAGAGCACTTTTTCACAGTGTTGCTAGTTAAGATTAAATGGGACACTGTAGAACAAAGCTTTCTACACATATAAAGGAGTTTCATTTATAAATTCATAACTATAATACTGAGGCCACTATAATAGAATAGTATCTTCAGTTTATGTTTTGCCTTAATATTTTCAGAGCTATTTCATAGAACCCTATCCTGCTCAATTATCACAGAAAATCTGAAATATAGGCTAAAGTGGATCATTAGACTGTCATACACTGAAAAACTTACTGCAGATGAAATAAGCCAAGACAGATTAGACAGAAAGTTACCTTTGATGCTTGGTTTTTGATTTGTGTTTCAGATAAGTTTTGTGGAAATGAAAATAATATATATATTTAATTTGAGAAAATGAGCATCTGCTTACATTTTTTAAAGTTTCCATAAATAAAACAAAACTTAGCAATAAAACAGGTATTAGCTTTATGTCCTTCTTTAGGTTACTGTTTCTTGCACACACAGCCCAGAATGTGCTTACCTGATAGCTGTCACACCTGGGGTCCCAGTGTGTGCTTACCTGATGGCTGCCACATCTAAGATTCTTTGAGTAGATAAGCCTCTTTGAAAATGCTTTGAAATGGTTACTATAAAAATTGTTTGTAGTCAACTTAAATTTTAAGTATAATAGTAAGAAACCGTAACCTCTTATAACTAACTTCATGTTTGATCTCACACACACACAAGCCAAAAAACTAAACCCACCACAACCTGTAGATGAATGACCCATAGGAAGTTACACTCCTGGGGTCAGCCAGTCCTTCTAGTCAAATGTTGAAGAAACATACCAACATGATAGACTTAATGAAGCTGAGCACAGTTTTAACTATTCAGCATGGACCTCACTTAAGAGAGAAAGTGAATCAGTGCTTAGAATAAAGTCTAGGTTCCAGCTTTGAGTATTTTTTCCATAACTACCTAAAACTCTTATACTTAACAGTGACTTAAATTATATGCCTGTAATTTTTATTTCGTTAACATTTCTGTAATACCAGTCTTGTTTGTTTGAAATGAGATTATGTTTTTCTTTCCCTGTGACTGGGATGGGAAAATGTTCCTTAAAGGAATGAACATTAAGCTTTGCTTCATTATGACTATTCTTTCAGCTCAAGTATTTTTTTCAATTTGAACTTCACGTAAGTGTTCTGAAGTAGCCTGTTTGAAAGCATCCGTTTTTTTTTTTTCCTGTTGAAAATATTTTCTGCCTTTTTAAAATGTGGATAATTCTGATAATTTTCTTCTTCCAGAAGAACTGAAATTATTTTTTAAAATATATTTTAATTGATTTTAGAGAGAGGGGAAAGGAGAAGGATAGATAGAAACATCGATGGGAGAGAAACATTGATCGACTGCCTTCTGCATACCCCTACTGGGGATTGAGTCTGCAACCTGGTCATGTGCCCTGACCAGGAATCAAACTTGTGACCTCTGGGTTCTTGGGTCGAAGCTCAACTGCTGAGCCACACCGGCCCAGCAAGAACTGTAATAATTTGTGGTAATTCCTTTTGGTCAGCTGAATTGGTAATTCACTGACACAGAGATAGTACTGTGTCCTTTTAGAAAAAAAAAATAGCAGATGTTTATCATTTACTTTCCATTGAAGTGAAACTACTCATTGGGATCTTTGGTATTCTCTATCCATTTATTGTATTCATCCTATATAATAAAAGCCTAATATATTAAGTATCCAGTCGTTTTTTCAACCAATCAAAGCGTAATATGCTAATGAATGCTAAGGCTGTTCAACCACTTGCGATGATGCGCACTGACCACCAGGGGAATCCAACTGGTAGGTTAGCTTGATGCTGGGGTCTGGCCGATCGGGACTAAGCGAGATAGGCCGGACACCCCTGGAGCCCTCCCACGGTCCCTCCCTGGCTGGCCAACCTCCATGGCCCCAGTCATGCATCGATTGGGTACCTCACCCTAGCCTGCATCCTCTCACAATCCGGGACCCTTCAGGGGATGTCAGAGAACTGGTTTCAGCCCCATCCCACAGACCAGGCCAAGGGACCCCACTGGTGCATGAATTTGTGCACTGGGCCTCTAGTATAGATATAAAATAAAAATAAGAAAACCTAGTTCATATTTTAATACAAGAAATCTCAACCACACATGTGAACTTCAACATTTAACTGTCCACAGTTGAATGTTGAATTTAATTCTATTACTATTACTGGTTTCAGCACCATCCCACAGACCAGGCCAAGGGACCCCACAGGTGCATGAATTTGTGCACTGGGCCTCTAGTATAGATATAAAATAAAAATAAGAAAACCTAGTTCATATTTTAATACAAGAAATCTCAACCACACATGTGAACTTCAACATTTAACTGTCCACAGTTGAATGTTGAATTTAATTCTATTACTATTTTAACATTTTAGATTTTCATTCCTTTTGAGTTCTGTACATTGAATGGATAAAATCAGGTATCTAATAAACATTTTGACTCTTTAAATACTCTCTGTGCAGTTGTTATTTCATCCTATAAACTTCACTAGCTATTTTTTTTGGTACTTCTACTTTTTAAGTATTTTATAGTACCCTCTGGCAGTTGCCAAATGTAGTATTAAAATGCATTAAAGGCACTATTTTAGCTTTCATTAAGTCTGGGTTCCTTTTTATAAGAAAATAAGCTTGTCTCCCCCCCCCCCCCCCCCCCCCGACTTACCCTAAATATATAATATACAGGTGTCTCTTTCTTCTTTTCCCCCACAACTCTTTTAACGATTGAAATGTCTATTGAGGAGAGGTTCCGACTGCTGATTTTTGCACAGAGCTGATTTAATTGGTCTTTGAGCCTTGCACAGTTCCACACCACTGGATGAAATCTGGACCTTAGCTTCATCTCTTGCCCTCCAAGCTCAGGCTCATTGGTTGTGATATACCATGGCTCCTCAGCCCCGCCAGGTGGCCTGGGCACATATTGTCCTCCTCCCCAACTCACATCCTCCTTCCTTTTTCTTTTTAGAGGCTGGTTCCTCTTGTTCTTCAATCCTCAGCTGAAATGTATTCACTGTCTCAGAGGGGCCTTCTTTAGCCATCCTATTTAGAACAGATCCCCCTCCATCACCATTTTCCTCTTAGTTCTACTTATTCACTTCATGACAATTAGTTTGGGATTGCATTTGTCTTACTTCTGTACTTTTGACTTGTTTTAGCAAAAAGTAAGAGTTTTGTTGATTCTTACTTTTATGGTTAGTGTCTCCCTAGAATATACATTTACTGAGAACTCTGGCTGTCTTTTATATTCCTATCACCTGGAAAATGCCTAGCACAAAGTAAAACCTTAAATGCAATTAGAAGCTAAGATGTTAGGATTCATTCAAATTTTTCTTGAATACCATTTGTTGTGCATTTTTCAAGTTTCATTTTTCTGATATAATGTATGTAGAAAATGACAATAATGGCTTTTTAAGTTAAAGATCTTGGTCTCTTCCAGATCATTATTAACATTAAATTTTCTTGAACAATACCAGAGATGTGGAAGATCTAAGACAGTGATGGCGAACCTATGACACGCGAACTCATTTTTTTGGTTGATTTTTCTTTGTTAAATGGCATTTAAATATATAAAATAAATATCAAAAATATAAGTCTTTGTTTTACTATGGTTGCAAATATCAAGAAATTTCTATATGTGACACGGCACCAGAGTTAAGTTAGGGTTTTTCAAAATGCTGACACGCCAAGCTCAAAAGGTTCGCCATCACTGATCTAAGAGATGGAGCTCATTCAGACTGTACCCTGCAAGCAGGATTTAAAATATAAAGGCATTATATCTGCTTTTTATCACATCATTTGCATCTCAGAAGAGTAGAATTTTTAAGAAAAATTTTAGTTATACCTGAATTCTGTTTTTATTGAAGTTGATGAACTTTAGAATTTCAAGATTCACCTGTTTTTAAATATAAAGTGCAATACATAGCAAAGCTAAATCTCGATGACTAGGTTATTTGTCAGTTTGTGTTTCTGCTCCCTTCTATAAATCTGAAAATTTGAGAATTTTTGTCCATACTCACTTCTTTTAAATGTCTTAATAACCAGTGATTGCTTTGAATTTTAAGATACATGTGTGTGTGTTTTTTCCTTTAGCCATATCAGTTTGAACAGTGCATTGTGCATTCTCTGCAATCACTTAAAGGAGTTCTAGACTGCAAGCCTGGAGAAACCAGTGTAAGTTTTCTGTTCTGGTCAACCTCTGTTGTAGACTTTCCCAATGAGCTGTTAGCAATCAATTGTAAAGTTTTGAGTCATTTCAGCACAAGAGCATTTCCCTCTGACTGCTTGGCTTGTTTTATTTCATTTAAATATAGAGGCGGTTGTTTTCTTGATTCCAAGAGAGGCTAATGGAAGTTAAAAATGTGAATGTAGGTGTTGTAGATAGACTACGTGCATTGTTAACACTTTGTATACGGAGAAAACAAGTGACTTAGGTGATGTTAAGCTGCTCCATGTCAGTGTCTTCTCAGGGCAAAATCACTGTAATTAGAAACACTACCTAGTCCAGCTCTTCATTCATGGCCCTTTTCAGAATAAGGTTATACACACTTTAAGCAGTTTTCGATGTGTTAACTCTTTATATTGAACTTCATAAACAGAAGTTTTGTTTGAGCTAAGTCCAAAATAAAATTTTTCACCAAAATTCTTCCTTATAGGTCTTTCAACAACCTAAAACACAGGAGGAGGTTTGCCAACTAAGCATCAATATCATGCAGGTAATAACTACAAACACTGGTACCCTGAGCTTGAAATAATGCAAATTATTTTTCAACCTTCTCTTATTTAGAATATATATAACATCTATACTAATAAAAGGTACTAGGTGTACCCATTAATAATGCAGATTTTGTAATCAAAGAAAACATGATAATTTCAAGAGAAACATCAAAAGTGCTTTATTCAAAGTAATGTCCATCGCTGCCTACACATTTCCCCCATCTTTCAGATAATTTGTGGATACTGTCCCAATAGAACTTTTCTTGTTTTGAGGCAAACCATTCAGAGACCCAGTTTTCCACTTCTTCGTACGTTTTGAAGTGCTGCTCAGAAAGTGTGTGTGCCATCGATCGGAACAAGTGGTAATCTGAAGGAGCAAGGTCTGGTGAATACAGTGGGTGGGTTAATACTTCCCAGACAAGATCTTTTAACTTGTCTAACTGGTTTTGAAGTGTGTGATGGTGCATCATCATGAAGCAAAATTACTTTGCCATGTCTTCTGGCTGTTTTATGATTAAAGCGTGGTTCAAATTGATTATTTGTTGTTGGTAGTGATCAGTATTAATGGTTTCACCTGGTTTTAGAAGCTCATAATACTTCCTGATCCCACCAAACTCAGAGCATTGTCTTCTTTCCAAAGCAATTTGGCCTTGCAGTCGATGTTGATGGTTGACCTGGATCAACCCATGATTTTGTGTGTTTGGGATTCTCAAAATAAATCCACTTTTTATCGCCAGTCACAATTAGATGCAAAAAAGACTTTCTTTCGTGCCATTGAAGCAAGATTTTACTGATGACTTTTCCATTTTCCATTTGTCTTTCGTTCAGTTGATGTGGCACCCATTTTCCTTCCTTTAAAATATTTCCCATTGCTTGTAAACGATTGGAAATTGTTTGCTGAGCAAGGTTTAATCTTTCTGGAAGCTGTTTTTGAGTTTAACATGCATCTTCATCCAATAATGATTGTAATTGTTGGTCTTTAAACTTTTTCGGTTGACCTGCACATTCTTTGCCTTTCACATTGAAATCATCACTTTTAAAGCATTTA